CTTTCCCCCCCCCCCCCCCCCCCACGAACAAAAAAATAATAATATTCTCACGTCCAACGACATTGTAAAATTAAGGATGTATTTGATTGCAAAGATGAGATTTGCATGGAAAGAAAATAAATTATAGGCAATTCAATTGTTTAAAACTTATTTGTATGAAAATTATTAATTAAATGTGTTTGATTGATTGAGTTTTTAACCCAAAAAATATTATATTTGTCAATTTTTATTGGTGGGTAGATAAAAGAGAAGGGATGGATAAGAGAGTGGATTCTCCGGAAAATAAAATCATACTCCCTCTAAAGAATTTTTTTCCTTGATTTTGAGGAAAATATGGTCACGTGACCGAAAGTAAAAAAATATTTTCCAGGAAAAAAATGTCAATCAAATAGCATAAAAGTAGAGATTTTAATGGAAAAAACACATTTCCATAAAAAATATTGACAATCAAACGCACCCTAATAGATTAAGATCAAGATATTTCAATAATTTTGCATCACAAGTTGAACTCGTACTCAGAAATTAAAATTGAGATATGGAATTTGTTAGAAATTAGTTTAAAACTGAGAAAATTTGGTTAAATATAGAAGTGGAAAAAGTGATTTCGTATCAACTTCGACCAAATATTCAGATTTAATCATATAATCAAATTACAAACGTAAATAGACTAACTTGTTCTACTCATCGAGTAGATCATCGTGGTATATTTGGAATATCAAAACTAATTCCGTTGAATGAGATATTGTGGTCCAAAATTGGAAGAAAATTAGAGGAAAAGTAGCCTAGATTTGTGCCCAATTCCATCACTCGCCTATCACTCGAACGACAAGCTCGCGAAAGGCTGGCAAAAAGTTTCTATTAATGTTTTGACACTGGCGCTCGACTGAGAGGCCAGGGACAGGCTAGCGACAACAATTTATGCTTTCTTTCATAAACTTGCGAGGTTTGATGCGCGTCACTTCACCTACAATCCCTCATCCTCCATAAATAGGATCCTTTGGACGTCTATAATGAATCCTATATCTCTTTTGCATTGAGCATTGCATAAATTTTCTTATAAAAACTCTCCAAAAGTCATTCCATATCTTTTTCCTTATAGATAGGATAAATTCTGTTCGAGTTCGCTTGTGTTTGTAGTTTGAAGTGCTTCTATCAAAGTTGAATCTGTTGTATTTTGGGAGATAAGTGATGTGAAATCGTTAACACCGTTGCGGAGAAAGTGTAAATACTTGCCTCTGATCGTTTTCCACCTTCATTTTACTTTCTTTTTTCTTCTTGTTTTCTACTTCCATAAAGTTTAATTACACTCTTGTGATTTAAACTTTTAAACTTCGTCTTGGTTTGTTCATTGCTAAACAACCCTTTCACCACCTTATTTTGGCACAACAATCTTAAGACAAAACCCTATCTATGGTTGTTTTGTGGATACAAATCCATGATCTTCATCTTTGAAATAAGCTTTACGTGCTATTCCCTTCTTATTGTTGTTGCGTTGAACTTCTATTTGTGTAATAGAAATGAATACCGTTGAGGCTACTTCAAGTCAAACAACCAATGGAACGAATAATGTGGTTCCGCCTTTGGTTGTGCCACTTCAAAATACTGCGATCTCACATAGGAAAAAATCGAAAAAGTTTGGAGGCATGAATTTCAAGATATGGCAACAAAAGATGTCTTATCTTATCGCTCTAAACTTAGCAAAGTTTTTGAAAGAGACGACACCAACGATACAAGAATGAGAAAATAATTGTGAATTGATTATTGTTTTGGATGCATGGAAGCACCCTGACTTCTTATGCAAAAATATCATAAATGGATTGAACATTGCACCATATGAAGTGTATAGTTTGAAGGACTCAGCAAAGGATGTATGTTATTCATTGGAGAAGAATTACAAGATTGAGGATGTCCAAGCAAAGAAGTTTATTGTCGGCAAGTTCTTGGATTACAAAATAGTAGACTCCAAAACAGTGATAAGTCAAGTGCAAGAATTATGAAGCATTCTAGTTGAAGCATTTAGGAATATGAGGAGTCCTTATAGGGGCTGACCCACATGGACCATGTGGGGTCAAATGACCCCACAAATTTTTGCCTTTTGTTTTTTTTAAATAATTATTTTAATCCCTTTACAACCTACTTTGGTGCACTCATTACGAGATGTCAAATGAAATCGAAATATTACATTTTTAATATCATTTTGAAGTGTTCATAGCCTGATTTTTGCTCACTAAAGGAGTTCGAAACAATAAAAATATCTTATATTCATTCGTGCTATAAGAAGATTACTCGTAAGTCATTCTATACATATTACATAGAAATGTGATAAATGCTTCACGATCTTTGATATTTTAATTATCAAAATGATGGAAGAGACCATATATGGACCAATGGGTGGCGAAAGAGGTCAATGAAGCTACAAAATTAAAAGGCGAGAATGAAGTTCTTAAAAAACAACCGTGCTTGGCTATTGTACACCATTACCTCCCCCCTCCCCTCACAATGAGGGGACCCACAATTAAAAAATTCATTGGAACCCCCTCATCATGTGAGAGGACAGTAAATCATGGTGTACAAGTAGTTTAATTGTTTAAAAAATAGTTTGGGATCCAGTGGTGTAATTTTTTTATTTGGAAGTGTAAAATTCTCTATATATAGAAGTGCAATAAGAGAGAATCAACACAAAGCACTGCCCAATTCCATGGCTGCACTTTTCTATATCTCAATTATCTCCCTTCTGTTTTCTTCCCTCTCCGGCAAACTGGAGGATGATTTTCCTGCAGAAGTTGATGCTAAGGTGCTCGGATTTCGCAAGGAAAAACTCACCCATTTCCGAGTTTATTGGCACGATATTTTAGGTGGGCAAAAACCCACTTCAATCCGAATCATTTACCCACCTTCCAATGTTTCAGCATCCAGTAGTTTCGGCATGGTAAGTATGATTGACAATCCACTAACAGTAGGCCCTGAATTGAAGTCCAAATTGGTTGGAAGAGCACAAGGGTTTTACGCTTCGGCTTCGCAAGAAGAATTATGTTTCTTGATGACAATGAATTTTGTATTTGATGAGGGGAAATATAATGGAAGTACGATTACAGTAATGGGGAGGAATGCAGTTTTCAATAAAGTGAGGGAGATGCCAGTGATCGGAGGAAGTGGGCTTTTCCGATTTGCTCGCGGCTATGTTGAGGCAAGAACTCATACGTTTGATCCCAAGACTGGAGATGCTACCGTTGAGTATAATGTCTATGTGCTTCATTATTGATTCTTAGTCTGCCTTTTTTGTGCAAAAAGCTAGAAAAAGTGACTTTTGAGCTGGGTGGAACATGTTGTAATTTCTTGCTAGCTTTTAATAATTATGCGTTGGTTATTTTTAGTATTGAATCAGTGTAACTTGGCTGCATCATCTCATAGATGCTGCTGTTTGGGATCTAGATAAATTTAGGGCTTGTTTAATTTGGATTAAAATCTGATTTTTAATTTAAATTAAAGTTAAAGTTTAATAATCAATATTAATCATATCTTTCAAGATTTGCATAGTTTTTGAACTACACATTTCGAAAACTTCAATCATAATTTACTGAAAATTTTAATTTTAATCTCCACCAAATATCCTCTTAAATTTTATAATTTTGCTAACCGTTTTAGTTTTTATTATACACCCTCTCAATAAAATAACTTTTCACGCATGCTATAAAAAATTACTTTTCATAAAATTGATTTAAAAAAAAAATCACTATCAAACAAATGGTTATATATGATAGTTAACTTCAAAATAATATCAGCCCCTTTTTGTTTTAAAATCGATTTTTTTTTAGTAAATTTTGATGAAAAAAATACATGAAATTTGTGGTTGAAAAGTCGTGGTGTTATGAAATGTATAGTTATAAATGAGTTTGAGGAAAAAAAATTGAAAATGAAAGCCAAAAATGGACTTTTCATTATATTGTAGCCTAATTATTACACTACGAAATTATGGAAAAAGTGGTTTGAGTGTTCATAAACATAGCTAAATATTAAGCTTAATCTGAAATCTTTAGTCCCATTTGCATAGGACTTGTTCGATAGTAATTTTTGAGAATTGATTTTTTTGGGAGAAAAATCAACACCAAGCACGCACATATTTTATATACAATTAACACAAAATTGATTGTGTTTATATTCTCTTAAAAAAGTTTTTAAATAAAATAATTAGTTCTCAATTTTTCCACAAGATATCACTACGTTGTTGACTGCTTTAAATAGTGTAGGTCAAATAGCACCATTTGTGCTGTGACACACGTCAACAACCCTAGTGCCCAAACAAGCTAAAAACTTAAGGCTGCAGTTGCTTTGACGTTTTCGGGTCGTTTTCCATTTTCGAAAATGCGGAAAAGGAGTTTGGTTCGTAGTTTTCGAAAATGCGTTTTCGAAATCGAGGTAAAATTTATAACTGAAAACGCAAAATAATTTTTATTATTTTGAGCGTTTTCAATTATAAATGGCCAAAATGCGAAAAATACCCAAAATGCAGCGTTTTCGAAGAAAATTAAAAAATATTTTGAAACCAAAAATGAAAAACAAAAAATTAAACCAACCGCAGCCTTAACTTTGCCCCCTTCTTGTAAGGTAGAATGATCAATGTCCTTATAAATTCGATAAACAAGTCTTCAATTTTAGGATGGAGATATTTGATTGTTAGGGCCATCAATACACACGCGTTATACAGAGTTTCTTCACCATTAGTCCAAGAGATGGGCTAAAGTGTACATGACACTTCACTTTGTGGAATATATCGCTTTGGATTCTTGCTGGAGTCCAAATGAATAATTATATTCAGAAACAGCCATATTTGACTGCAGATTTTTTATTTTTTTATTTTTTTCCCCTTTATGTGTACCGTCGAGAGTAAAGGATCAGTTCCTTTTGTCCAGATGATTTTACGTCCGTGGACTCGACTACTATCTCATGAATCCATTTCAAATTTTCAATCACTATCGCGTCAAGCTTCAGATTTTTCAAAGAAAGCAATAGGAGTAGGTAACATTAATGATGGTCCATTTCCAAATGATATTCCACCTTCTTTATTATTATTCGTTACCCCCCACATGTAATATTCTCATTTCCAAATAATATTCCACCTTGCATCATTAAAAGATATTCCGAATAATTTTGCGTCACAAGTTGAACTCTTACTCAGAAATTAAGATACGGAATTTTCCCTATTAGAAATGATCAAATAGATTAAACATTAAAATCAGTTAATATTTGCCTGATTACAATTTATAATTCTAATATTACATAAAAGAACTTGTTGTCGATTTTGTATCTCACAAGTATATGGATCGTAGCTAGTAGTAAAGTGGACCTAAGAGTCCGAATATCGTTCCTACAAGGACTACTATTTAATAATAGGTTTAATTATTTCTAACTTTAATTTGATAAAAAAACAAATAAAGAATTAAATATTGTGATTTTTGATAGAATTATTTGAAAGTATATGGATGCACACAAGGGTGGTTTAGAGATTAAATAATTAATAAATATTATGGCTAAATATTTCACCTACTGATCACTTTTAAATCTTAATTTAAGATTTATATCTCATGTAGTGTTCGATCGAATTCTCCCATTGTATTCAATTTACCCATTTTGAATTATCATTGAATCTATTTAATTAATTCAATTACATATCTATATGTGAATCAAGCTTTGTTAAACGAGTTCTTTGTCCTAGGAATTCAATTATGACTGCAATAATTAGTGTAGGTATCTCTACTCTTTATACCAATTACTAGATTTTAGTACATGGTCAAAATTCTAAACTCATATCTCTATTCGTAAAGAATTCACAAAATCATCAAATTATTGATCAAGTAATTTAATACATTCAATCTATAGTAAAATCAACACATTGGAACAATAAAGACCAAAAATCTTAAATAAAATATGTAAAGGGTCCCAAATAAGTTACATTATTTGTCCTAACAAGATTTAACTATTTATAATAGAGAAAGAAAAGCAAATAAAAATAGTAGAGTTCATCATCAGGTTTTCAATTTAGATGTGGGGAAGTGGATGAATCTTGCACCAAGTTCTTCTTCTCGTTCCAAATCCTGATTTCCAACCCTTGAATTGTTGTCTTTCTCCTATTGAATATTTCTTTTGATTTTCGAATTGTGTTCTCTTGCCTCCCGATGTGTGAATCCCCTTCAAAAGTGTGAGAAATTTGTATTTATAAGTACCTCCTCGTGTGTGTAGAAAGTAGGATTTTTATGGATTTCAAAACGAGCCAAAAACTCGCCCTAGACGCACCCAAGCAGCGCCATGGCACCACCTTCGGGTGAAAATTTTCTGCTGAGCTTCTTTCAGTATTTTTATTATAACTTTTTCTCCCGCTATCCAATTGAGGCAATTCAAGATGCATTGGCTAACTCAAAGGGCTACAACTTTGCTTCAGACGTAATTCTCCAATTCGATCGTTTGCTCTGTCAAAAATGAGTCTCAATGTGAGGATGAAATTTCGGAGCATAACTTTTCGGTTGGAAATTGATTTGTGATCATATTTTACCTAAATTTGATCCATTTGACATATTTCTTCATCCAATTGACTCCTAGTGCTCTCAGGTCTTCATCGTGAAGTTCGACACAACTTTTGAATATTTTCACTTTAGTCCCCAAACTTTGGATCTCTTACAATTTTGCCCACTTTTGCTTCTTCCTTCAATTTCTTATACCGTCATTGAATTTTACCTGTTCAGCACAAAATGCAATAATTTAAACCATAATTCATCCGAGAAGCAACTAAATACCTTTGTTTTAAAGTTTTGAATAAATGTATAAAATACACTTATCAAAACACTTAAAGCTACAATTGATTGAGTTTGCCAAAGAATTGAGGCATAACTAATTGACTTCAATAAATAATCATAATGGTCACAAATAAACCTCTGGAGAAGTAGCATCAGCAATCTTTGGGAAATCCTCAAGAAGGGCGAATAAAGGTTCATCTCCTGATAATCCTTTCAGTGCCAATGCCAAAGAATACCCTAATGCTCGAGCTACGGGTATACCAACTGCATTCCCAACTTGAATGTATCTAACAAGTGTTTGAAAAAGGAAAAGAATAAATAATGAATAAAAGGTAGGAGAAAATTTAAAAATGGAGATCAATTGTTGCTAATAAAAATTTACTAGGCAGATACCTTTCTTTTATAGGGCCAAGAAGTTTATAATAATATGGAAAACCTTGTAAACGAGCATTTTCACAAATTGTAAGAACTCTATCTTGAACAAGGAATACAATCGTCTAAACCACAAAAGTTTATGTTGTGAAGTTATACAATGGAAAACCTGCAAATTTGAATATTTTAAGCTATATATTTAAATGCCAAAGAGAGAGTTTACCTGGTTATCAGGTTCAGCCCTAGTAACCACAGTTGGGACAGTCTCATCCCACCACAACCGCCCAAATGGCCTATAAGAATTGAGAATGTAGAATTTGGGTTGTTGTTTTTGTAAAGCCCAAGTTGAAGGCCTAGCCCAAGACCCGGATAAATGACCCAATAAGTAGAAGAATCTGGAAAGGAGAAAAACGAGTTAACAAAACGCGTTTTTTAAGTTTCAAATAACAACTTTGCTGGATCTTCGACGCGTGGCAAAATAAGGGCCGTTGGATTGAATCTTTGAGCCTCTTTCATATAAAAACGAAAAATGTCTCTAGGGTTTCTGCCTCCTCCTGTTTTCATTCTAGCAGCTTCCTTCGTG